TGAGACCTTTCATTGTACTACTTCCATCTGCTTCAGCCAAACCAATCATTCACTCTTGCCTACTTTCTCACTTTCAGAATTTTGATCAGTGCAAGTTATTGAAGTTCAACCAATATTTATTGAATACCTACTACCTTCAGCCCTATTGTGGTCTCTGGATAAACAAATATGTATAAGACAAAATACTTGACTTGGACGAGTTTATAATCTGCCAGGGAAGACAAAAAGATTCTTTTGATGTTATCCTAGGTGCTCTGACAGAGGATAGCATGGAATCCATGGAATCGGGAACCAGTGGCATAGTTCCCTGCTGGGGACAGTCAGTGAAGTCTGACAGAATGGCATGATTCCTAAGTTGTCTTAAGAGATGAGAAAGCGTTGGACAGATAAGATAGAGCAAGGAGTGAGAGGCTGAGGTGGGTATTCCAGGTTGAGGGAACAGCACAAGCAAGCAGGTGTGAAGCAGGATATTGTAAGCAACTGAGCCCTGTGGGTTGGGACAGATGTTAATGTTCTTGTATGGCATGCCAAGGATTCTGGATCTTATTCTGTTATTGTTGTTATTATGTGCTGTTAAGTCGGCCCTGACTCATAGTGACCCCTCCTTGGGTTTCTGAGGCGGTATCACTATGGAAGTAGATTTCCCAACCTTCTTTCAGAGGAGTGGCTGGTAGGTTTGAACTGCCAGCCTTCTGGTTAGCAGTCAAGTGCCTTAGGCACTACACCACCAGATATGGTAGAAAACCATTAGAGATCACTCTGTGGTCCTAGTAAGGTCCCTAGCTGGTGTAAACAACTTACATTCAACTATTAACATAAAAGTTGGCTTTGTGACGAAAGAAAGGCCTGGCAATCTGCTTCTGTAAAAATTACACCAAGAAAACTCTATGGAGCAGTTCTCCTCTCTAACACATGTGGTTACCATGTGTCTTGATGGCAATGAGTTTGGTGTTTTGGTTCTGTAATCCTAGCAGTACAGCAGATGGGACGGATGGGCTATAATGAAAACAGAAAGAGTTAGGAGGCTGCTGAAAAAGTTGAGGAGAGTGTTCAAAAAAAAAAAAAAAAAAGTCAAAGAGGACAATGTGAATCTGAAAATGAGGACTGTGAGAGCAAACTGTTCCCTCCACCTGAAATCCTCTTTACACAGAATGCTTTTTTTCCTGGCAGAATTCTGCCTGTCCTGAAAGATTCAGCTCAAACGCCACCTCCTCCTTTTGGAGCTTTATACTGATCATCCCAACCAAATATAAGCCCTCCTTCCTCTGAGCCTCTATGGAACTTAGTACCTCTTTTATGGAATTCCATTTGACTTTCCATGTAGTCGTGAGTATATCTCATTCCTCATCACTACATTCTCAACTCCTTGAGGTCAGACACCATACCCTATCTTTGTATCTCCCACAGTGACTATCACAGTACTTGACACATAATGTTCTTTAGCTGCTGTCCTTGAGTTGCCTTGGACTTGTGGCAACCTTATATACAACAGAACAAAACATTCCTGGTCTTGCACCATCCTCATAATGTTTCAGTCCATTATTGCAGCTATTGCACCAATCCATCTCATTGAGTGTCTCCCATACCCTCATTAGGCCTCTACTTCACCAAACATGATGTCCTCTTCTAGTGATTGATTTCCTCCTGATGACATGTTCAAAGCAAGTGAGTTAGACAATGTTCTGTTGATATCTAAGGTTTTCATTGGCTCATTTTTGGAAGCAGATCACTGTGCCTTTTTTCCTGGGTTGTCTTAGTCTAGAAACTCCTCTGAAACCTGTCTGCCATCAGTAACCCTGCTGGTATTTGCAATAGCAACACACAAGCCACCATAGTATGACACACTGACAGGTGGCAGTGATACATAATAGGTGCTCAAAAAATAATGTTAACTATATCAATGGATGAACAAAGGACTCAATGGGTGGGACAGAAGCCAATGATGTAAGTGGGCAAAGCAAGAATTAAGACATTTCTCTTCTCAATGGATAGAAATGGCTATCTTATAGGGTGCAGCTGAGTCTAAGAAACAAGAACACCAACATCCACACCTCACATCTTTCTAATATTGGAGAAATCCTTATAGAAAAAGGTCTTTGGGAAGAAATGAAGATTTCTCTTATTAGCAGATGTCTCTTAGCACCTCCTGTGTTCTCAGTATCACTGTAGGGTCTTTACTTAAGTGTATACTAGAGGTTTCATTTTACTTGGATATACAATCAACACTCATGGAAGCAGCACTCAAGACATCATATTGCTCAAGACATCATATCTGCTGCAAAAGACCTCTTTAAAGTGTTAAAGAGCAAAGATGTCACTTTGAAGACTCAGGTGTGCCAAACTCAAGCCATGGTATTTTCAATTGCCTCATATGCATGTGAAAGCTGGACAATAAATAAGAAAGACTGAAGAAGAGTTGATGCTTTTGAGTTGTGGTGTTGGTGAAGAATAGTGAAAATACCATGAACTGCCTGAAGAATGAGCAAATTTGTCCTGGAAGAAGGGCAGTTGGAATGTTCCTTGGAAGCAAGAATGGCCAGACTTCATCTCACTTACTTTGGTCAACATCAGAAGGGATCATTCCCTGGAGAAGGATATCATGCTTGGTACAGTAGAGGGTCAGAGAAAAAGGGGAAGGCCCTCAGTGAGATGGACTCACACAGTGGCTACAACAGTGGGCTCAAGCACAGCAAGGATTGTGAAGTTAGTGCAGGACCGGGCAGTGTTTCCTTCTGTTGTATGTAGAACTGCTATGAGTTGGAATCAACTTGACGGCACCTAACAATAACAAACACTAGAGAAATGATACTTAATCTTTAAGGTAGATTTTTTCAGGAAAAAAACTATAGATCTATATGGTCTGGCAAAGCCAAAGCAGACTTCCTGGAGGGGACGACACTTCCCAGAAGGGAAGGAAAGAGGGGCAGTAGAGCATCTCAGGGAAGCAACAGGCATAAAGATCTGAAGTGGAAGCAGACTGGAGGCTCTGAGTAGAGCGCATTGCTGGAGGGCCTCCTGTGTGCTCAGGAATGACACTAACTGGTGAAAAATAGTTGACCTGCCTCTGAGAAGCTCCAGTCTGAGAGGTGAGGACTAAGGGGGACAGATACTAAAACAAATACAGGTGATGTGTATCATTCCACAAGAATGTAAGCCCCGTGAAAGCAGAAACCTTATCTGTCTTGTTCATCACTATACCCCTAATACCTACAACAGTGCCAGGAACAAAGTAGGTACTCAATAAATACTCACTGAATGAAGGAATGCTACAACGGAGATGTTGCTGTTGTTGTTAAGTGCAGTTGGGTCCCTAGAGAAGGACATCATGCTTGATAGAGGGTCAGTGAAAAAGGGAAGATCCTCAAAGAGATGGACTAACACAGTGGCTGCAACAATGGGCTTAGCATAACAATGATTGTGAGGATGGCACAGGACCGGGCAGTGTTTCATTCTGTTGTACATGGGGTTGCTATGAGTCAGAAACGACCTGACGATACCTAACTACAACCAACTCTGATACTGAGTTCTTCATAGAGTCCAGCTTCTTGGATTTTTGGCTCAGCATACAGATTGAATAAGTACGGTGAAAGGATACAACCTTGATGCATACCTCTCTTGATTTTAAGTCATACCTGATTTTTATCCCTTTGTTCTGTTTGAACCACTGCCTGTACTGGTCCCACATAAGCACAATTCAGTGTTCTGGAACTACCGTTCTTCCCAGTGTTATCCATAATTTGTTATGATCCACACTATGCCTTTGCATAGCCAATAAAACACAGGTAAACATATTTCTGGTATGCTCTGCTTTCAGCCAAGATCCACGTGACACCAGCAAGGATATCTCTCATTTCACTGCCTCTTCTGAATCTGGCTTGAATTTCTGGCAGTTCCCTGAAATTAGCAGTTCTCTGAAATACAATGGAGATAGAAAACATAAATAGTAATATTTATAGTTACCATTTATTAGGCACATATATGTGCCAGGGACTGTACTGAGTTATATATGTTGTTGTTGTTATTTGCCATCGAGTCGGCCCCGACTCATAGCGACCCCTCCTTGGGTTTCCGAGGCAGTATCACTATGGAAGTAGGATTGCCCAACCTTTCTTCTGAGGAGTGGCTGGTGGGTTTGAACCGCCAGCCTTCTGGTTAGCAGTCAAGTGCCTTAGCCACTATGCTACCAGATATACATTATCTTATTTGATTCTCCAACAACCTTGTGATGGTTCTGTGATTATCTCACTTTTCAGATTTGGAAACCAAGGCTTTTCAAGTATACACTTGCCTTAGTAACCTATTTATTGGTAACCTAACCAATAAATAACAAAATTGAGACTTGAACTCGTGACTACATAACTCCACAGTCCATCCTCTGTATTTGTACTCTACTGTTCTTAATGCTGCTTGGAGAATTTTGTTTGGTAACTGATTGAAAAGTGCAAAGAAAGACCTAATATAGACAAACTACCGCAGTAAAATCATCCTGGAATAACGAATATGAACTGAAGTGGAGACAATGGGAACAGAGAAAGGATTTTTTTGGTATTTCAAAGAGCTTCTAAATAAAGCTCAGGGCATGGTGTCTTACTGGGTATAGGAGATGACTAAGTTTGTCTCCTGGGAACAGAAAGAATGCTGGCAGCCGTGAGAGAAATAGTTTTTCTCTAATTTCTAGTTCTTCAACGATAATACACTCGATATTCTAGATAGATGACCCAAATCTCTAGGTTTGTTAGTTCCCCAGAGCACCTGATCAGGTGCCGGTCACATACAATATTGGCAAGCCAGCTTGAAAAAGGCACTCAGGAGGGCAGAATGAGAAAGGCATAGTAGACGCATAAACAAACAAGTCGGCTTCACGAGTGTTCCAGTTCTCGAGGCTGATCAGCACTACAAAGGGAAAGGTGGGGCTTGTCTTAAGAACTACAACACCCACAAGGCACAGGGCGAAGTTCCGAGGTTTCCGGCTAGAGGTTATTTCCGGTCTTTGGGTGCTGACGCTCTCTTCCTGTCTTGGTAGCTCTCGAAAGGTATTTGGGGTGCGCGCGGTGAAGGCCGAGGCTCTAAGGGTCCGGGCGGGAGAGGGTAGGGTCTCGTGTTCGCAAATCACTCAGCGGCTGAGTATTAGCTTGAAGAGGGCGGGCAGGAGAGGAGACGCGTCGATGGATGACGTGTAACCTTGACAAGAGGGGGCAGGGGACAGAGCCGACAGATTTCCCCCCCTCCCCCCGCTCCTAGGGACCCAGAAAGGGATGTGGGAGACAAGAATGAATGGGATTCCAGGGAAAACGGGAGTGGTTGAGATGCAGGCGCGGGAAGCAGTATCCCGCAAGTGCACGGTAGGAGCCCCACAGTTGTAGCGGGAACACAGTAACTCTGGAGAATTTTTCTGTGTAAGGGAAAGCTTGAGGCTGCTGCAGATCCAACATCGGCCGAAATCATGCATCCCTAGGAAAGCCCTGTTCTGGCCATATGGTGTTCTCTCCGAGGGCTTCATCAGCTAGGGAACATCCCTGGCTCCTGACGGTAGAAGGGCAGTAGTTTTATTCTGGTACTTAGACCGATTTTCCAAGAGCTGCAAGGCAAGATGGTAGGAGAGCCTTGCAAATGGTTCAGCTCTTGTGGCTTTTGGACTGTTTTGTGGGGTGGGACTGCAGCTTTGGTAGGATCAAGAGAGCTTTAGGACATTTTATAAAAGAGTTTTAGGACATTTTATAAAAAAGGCTGTCAGGAAGATTGGATTATTTTTACATAGTTGGATTAACTGCTCACTTTGCTTTTTTTCTCCAAAGATGAGATTGCTGGCATTTGTGGTGTTGGCTCTCTCTGTTGGCACTCAAGCAGAGGAGGGGGCCAGGCTTTTGGCATCCAAGTCACTGCTAAACAGATATGCTGTGGAGGGGCGAGACCTGACCTTACAGTACAACATCTATAATGTTGGTTCAAGGTAAAGACCTGAGGCTCTGGGGCTACAGGTTGAACCCTGTTCTGGATTCTTAGATTTCCCAGCTGGTAACAAGGAAAATCCTTATGGATAGTGATACCTCTTTGGGAGACCTCAAGCGTCAGATATTGTGAATGAATACACCAGTTTTGAAAGAAGAGTCCTTTCTTCTGCTTTTTGGATTGGTAGAGTTTCAGAGTGGAGAAGAAGTAGGAATTGTGGTATAAGGTATAACAGGGAGAAGACCCAGGGCAGAAGTACACCCACTCTTCACTTATTGTCATGGTTAGGTTCCAAAGTCCAGGGCATTATGCAGAAATCGATGTTATGTGAAAATGGAGGATGATCATGTCAGATCACAACATGGAGATGTGTATCATTACATAGCTGCCAAACCACTGAGAATCATGGCCCAGCCAAGTTCACACATAACCTTAATGATCATGGTCAGCGTTAGTGTCACCTCACACCTTGGCGTTTGTTACTGCCAGACATATGTTGTTAATGTGCAAAGTATAGTTGGATAGTAGATTTTTTACTATTGTAAATGTGAGATGTCAGATAACAAGATACTCGAGAAGTGAGGTATATATAACAATTCTTTTGTTACCTCGGGTTTTATGTTTCAACCTTTTTTTTTTTTTTCATTAATCTATGAACATTTTTGTTACCTTTCTTCATGCTATTTCCTTTAATTTTCTCTTCTATAAACATTTTCCTCCTTGTCTTCCTCTCTCTACACACATACATGAAGAGAAATTGAGGCAAGAATAGATCTGGGTCCATTCCTTCCTAGGTACTTGAGTATTTTGATATTTTTGTGGCATAAAATCTAGTCCTTGACCTGGATTCTTTAATGGCACAAACCCAAGTTACTATGTAACTGGTATCTGTTCCGAAGTTCTGATTTTTTAGGACAAAAGGGTAGATTTGATTGTCAGATGTTTTAAATTTTATATCCATTGCTTACTGTTTTCCTCTGTTTTTTTTTTTAGTGCTGCATTAGATGTGGAATTATCTGATGATTCCTTCCCCCCAGAAGACTTTGGCATTGTATCTGGAATGCTCAATGTCAAATGGGACCGGATTGCCCCGTATCCTCTTGGCACTGGATGATAAAGGCTGGTGGCAGGGAGGGAAGTTTGCCAGTAAAGCAGTGGGTCACTTCACTCAGTCCAGGTGTGCAAGGCCATTCTCCTGCCATCTCTCTGGATAGGATGGGGCAAGAGAGACTGGTGGAAATCATGCAAGCGTGGACATGAGGAAGGAGGTTCCTGAGGTTTAGATTATAAGGCCCTGACGCATAATGGAGGATGTAGACTCTCCTAAAAATGTTTGTGGCCAGACTGGGATATTAGATGCTTTTAAAAGAAATTAATTTTAATGCTAGTGTGGACCCTATGATCTTTTAAAGTCTCTTTTTATTCAGTAAGTCTTTTGTTCTGATCTATCAATTATTTTCTGTGTTTGTTGAATTTGGTGATTTTTTTCCCTTGTAAATTAAATATATTTAGATTTTTAGATTTTCTGGTGTGGGTAAATGTTCTCTTTGTATTTTGTTTTTGTTGTGTGTTTTTGCATTTTTGAGAACTTCCTTTGTTGTTGTTATGTGCCGTGGAGTCAGACCCGACTCATAGCACCCTCCTTGGGTTTCCAAGACAGTATCACTACGGAAATAGATTGCCCCATCTTCCTTCCGAGGAGTGGCTGGTGGGTTTGAACTGCCAGCCTTCTGGTTAGCAGTCAAGTGCCTTAGGCAGTATGCTACCAGAGCTCCATTTTTGAGAACTTCCTTCAGTTATATTGTTGTTGTTATGTGCCGTCGAGTTGGCCCCGAATCCTAGCGACTCCTCCTTGGGTTGCCAAGGCAGTATCACTACAAAAGTAGATTGCCCAACCTTCCTTCCGAGGAGTGGCTGGTGGGTTTGAACCGCCAGTCTTCTGGTTAGTTATAGCCAATTAAAAATTTTCTGTGGGCTTGAGCAACTATAACTTTTCATCCATAACATATATGCTTTGAAAGTTTATTTTAAAAACCTTGATACTGAGAACATCATGGACCCTTTAAAATGAGGCTAGAAAGATACCATACTGTACCTCACACTTATGACTTTAAGAAGTCTGTATTTTTTCATTCCTGTATGAAATCACCAAGGGTTGATAGCTATTTTGTGAATGACACTTTTAGTCCCCAAATCGTAGGCTCTTCTGGAGGAGTGTTACAATCTTCGCTTCATCTTTTTCCTTTCCTTAACTCTCGGGCCAGTGCTAGCAATGTGTCCCATACCGTGGTCCTGCGCCCTCTCAAGGCTGGCTACTTCAACTTCACCTCAGCAACCATTACATACCTGGCCCAGGAGGATGGGCCTGTTGTGGTGAGTTACCCCAACCCTTAGTGCGTGGAGCTCAGATCTCCAAAAATTTCCCCGACCCAGCCCAATTTCAGTATGTCTTTCCTTGAAAATTTTCAGAAAATTTCCAAAGCAGTCACTAAATTCATAGGAAGGTAAGCTTGAACTGAAACTCAGGGAAGGAAGGAAGTGTGTTTCAAATTGTAAAGTCCCAGAATAGAGCATTTGTACTGGATGAAAGCATTCTCTTCCTCTTCATCTGTTTTCCTTTTAGCCTGGAATGTGTCGTTTGCTGCCCAGTTTATTGCATCCTCGTCCTTCCAATCCATCTTCTGTACCCTTGCCAGATTATTCCCAGTCCCCACTATGAACCATGTCTTTCCCTTGCTGAACATTTCTGCTTACCACATTGAGGCTGAGCTCTCCTGCTTGTCATTTTACACCCTCCAGTAGTCTGGCCCTTCTCTGCCTCTCCAGCTTTTTCTCCCTCTCTGCCCACACAGACCCTTAATCCTAAATTGGCCAAGCTCCTTGCTGTACCTCTTGCCTTCTCCAGTGCTTATTCTTTCCTCTTTGCCTTTGTTCTGTGTCTGAAGTACTCTCTCCACTTCATTATCCAAATCCTTCTCAAGTCCCAGCTTTGAGCTACATCTCCTTGGTTCTAGCTTCTGCAATTCATGTTGCTCTTTTCTACTCATTCATTCTTTCAGTAAGTTTTCATTGACTGCATCTAAGCTTCTATAGCACTTACAGTCTATGACACTTGAACATTTAATTACTTACTGCCTTCAGTAGTTCTCTTTCTTATATGTTAATCTTCACTCCCCAGTTTAATTATAAATTCCTTGAGGCCAAGGATTCTGTCTTAGATTTCTGTTTCCCAAACTTCTGCATTTATAACAGAAACTCGGTAGTCAACAGTCTTTAGATTCATCAGCGTAAAGGTCTACAGACGTTTATTGAGCCCATGCAATGTTGTTCTCAATTCTAGGGAATAACGAGGACATTAACTCTGTCTTAGCCTCAAAAAGCTTAGAGCTTGAATTTTATAAAGGCCCCTGACAGGACCATACAGTTGACCTTTAGGCTACTCAGTGAGTGCACTGTAGAGAGGGGACATAACAGTCAACCATGGAACTAAGAGAAGTCTAAGATTCACTAACTCTCAGTATATTTCTAAATTTCCTTACATAAATTATATAAATTTCCTTTCATAAGTCATATAGAACCATAGTCTTATCTCCCAGTTGTATTTTTTGCATCTTGTGGCATTTTACTGTCAGAAACAATCTCAGAATTCTTTGGTTCTAGCTGATACTTGATGAGTTAATAGATACCAAATCAAAGGCTAAGTTACCACCTTAGAACAAAATTGTTTGCAGTGTGCTCCAAACTCTTGGCTGCCTCTCCAAAAGAAAGGAATGTGGGCCAGCGTCTGACCCTCTTCTAGTAATGTACATTTGGGTAGGGCTTTAGACTTCTCAGGGTCCTTCTCATTATTTCATTTGAGCCTCATGTCTACTCTGAGGAAATTGTTGCTAAGGGCAAGTCATTCCTTTGTACATCTGGCCCTGCCGAGAGGCCAGTGGTGGTGAGCAACCTCACTCTTTTCAGAGTGGCTAAGATACAAGGATTTGGCTTTTAATTCTAGCTTTGTACCTGACCTGCACTGTTTAATGAATGTTCATCATGTGGTGGCATTTCCATAGAACTAACTCAGGCTTCTTGGCTCCTGGTTTTCCCTTCTTTACAACACACTAAGAGAAACTCATCCAAGCTATCCCTAGTTCAAAAGCTTTTGCTCATCTTCTTCAAGTTCTCTTGGGCCTTTAGGAACTGAGAATCTAATGCTTAGGATTGCGTTAACTGTGACTGCCCTTTTTCGAATGAGAGCCTTTGCAACTTGCCTAACACCCTTTCTTCTTTTCAGATTGGCTTTACCAGTGCCCCTGGACAGGGAGGAATCCTGGCTCAGCGGGAGTTTGATAGGAGATTCTCACCCCATTTTGTAAGTTCTGCAATGTCCACTCTTATCATTCCTCTGATACAGGAACACCCTTTTGGTTCTGGGACCTCTTGGCCTCCTTAGAAAATCTGTTTTGTGTGCTGGTTCTTGCTCTGCCTTTGTTTCTTGTTGTTTGATGTAGACAGCCATCAAATATCTTGATAGAACCATGCCCAGAGATTCTTTGCAATGAGAGAACAATTGCTAGAACCAAAATACTGATTTTTTTTCTACTCAGCCTTGAGTAGAACCTCATCTTAGAGTCTTGAGTCTGCCTTGACTTTAAAAAAAATAAAAAACCGGGTTTGATTCAACAGGCAGTAGAACATTGGGAACGTTAAGTGAGAACTTTGTTGTGATCTAGTCTAGAAGAGAATTTGTAGAGATTTTCTTAAACTACTGAATGAAGGAATTCATTTACTCATTCATTAGTGAATAATTATGAAGGCCCTGCCATTAAAGATCTTATGGCCCATAGAAGACTCAGAACAAGTAGATGGGAGATGCTGTGATAGAGGTTTTATATGAGGTGCTGGAGGAACATAGAGCAGGAACTACTAACCTGGTCTTTAAGAGTCAGGGAGGGTTTTCTGGTGGAGGTAAAGGTTAACCAGTCAAAAGAGGGTGTGGAAGGCCAGGCATTCATTGCAGGAGGAGGAAGGAGCTCAGAGGTAGAAAAAAGCATGGTGCAGTCCAGGAATGGCAAGTCATTTAGCAAGGCCAGAGGGTAGACTGTAAGGCACAGGAATAGAATACGGAAGAGAGGGGCCAGAGGTGTGAGCAGGGCTTAGAATATGGGGGGCATGACCATCTGTGGCAAGGTGCCTGGGACGTCTCCTTTTTCAAAGACTGTTTGCAAAGGAAAAGCTTGTCTTCCAGTCTGGGTTGGGTCTGGTGAAGCCATTGGCTTCACAGCTTGAAAGACAGATTGGTCTTTAGAAAGCCATTATGTATCAGGAATGGTCAAGGAGGAACCTTCCTGCCAAAGTTATGCTTAAATTTTGAGATAGACTGCTCCATTTCTTACTGGACCCATTCCTTCCTGATTCTCTCCCATGCCCTAATCCAGACTTCTAAGCAAGGCTTTTATTTTTCTCCACAGCTAGACTGGGCAGCCTTCGGGGTCATGACCCTTCCCTCCATTGGCATCCCCCTGCTCCTGTGGTACTCCAGCAAGAGGAAATATGATACTCCCAAAACCAAGAAGAACTGAGTGGGGCTTCCATAGCCCTCCCCCACAGAGAAATCCAGGTGCTTTCCAGACTCCAAAGGGTATATCAAATGCAATCTCTTCTCCTTTAGCCCTGGCTACTTTCTCCTGGATCCTGCTTTGCTCTCAACTAGAGTAAAGGAACAGGCCTAGAAATCTGAGAGCCTCCTTGGTTCTATTCTGAAGCCATACAAATAGGAATGCTTTTGGCAGCAGCCTTGAGCCTAGAGGGCCCTCTGGTGCTTCACTGAGGGGCTGGTGGGTATATTGCTGGCAACGTGAACTCTCGGATCCAGGACAGGGCACTTCGGAGACTGCCTGACATCACCCTGCCCTTCGCCCTCCCCTCTCAGAGAGTAGAAGGTGATATGAAAGCTATATGACTCTTGAAGGTTACTCAATCTCTATTCTAGGTTAGGGAAGTGTTTACCAAATGGAGTTTTCTAATAAAAATAATAAATGCCACACTGACTTGTCTTTTTTCCCCTATCACCTGAGTGAGTACAAGTTATTGTTGGAGTTCAGGCTTCTGGGTAAATGGGGCTGAGTTTGTACCTGTTTGCTGTAGGGGTTGTGGGTCCTATTTGGGACTTTGAATCAATTCAGTCATGGCTGACAAAGCAACACTGGAAGATTTTTAAAATGTGGGTGAACCAGAGTGCTAACCAGAACAGGAAAAATTATGGGTTATAGCCCTGCTAGAAACTTAATTTCCCTCTTACAAAACAAGGTCAGTTTGCCTGTGGCAAGGAGCTCTGGTGGCGTAGTGCCTAATGCATTTGACTGATAACCAGAAGGCTGGCAGTTCAAACCCACCAGCCATTCCTTGGAAGGAAGGTTGGACAATCTACTTCCATAGTGATACCTCCTCAGAAAACCAAGGAAGCGTCGCTTTAAGTCGAATCCGACTCGACAGCAGTGAGTTTGGTTTTTGGTTTGGTGCCCATGGCATAGCAGCCAAAGCTCTTGACTGACTGAGTTGAAAACAATGGTGCCCAGCTCAAAGGTGGTGGCTCAGTATGTTGTTTTAAATGTGTGTCTCCACAGTCCTGGCAGTAATCCAGTGTAATGCATCAGGCTCCTGAAAGGGCTCACTATGACTCTTCTGAATCTCCCATTTCAGGATTTTCAGCCAAATATTCCCCATTCTGGTCAGTGTTGGAATTACCCAAATTTTAAAAATTGAGTCTGTCCCAGTTTCACTTCTTTGGCCATGACTGAACCAGTTCAGAGCCCTAGTCCTATTCCCAGGGAGATACCACCTTTTAAACACCTTTGCTTCCAACCCCTACTTCCCTCTTTTCTCACCAGTCACCTACTTCTTCTCTGGACCTTCCTTGCCTGTTACCACCTCTCCACTGCTAGGGAAGGGAGGGTGGGGGAAGAGGATCTGCACATCAGCAGCTGTTCTCATGCCCTGGGAGTTACTCTTGTTTATCTATTTACTGATGAAAAACTCTCTTATACCTGATTGTAGCCCTCCCCCAGTTTAACAACTGGCTCATTTTGAGCTTGAATTTATTCTTAATGTTGAGCTCATGCTAGGCAGAGGGGCCTGGACCCTCTCAGTTGGCCTTAAGCATGGTCTATATGAAAAGGCAGTGGCTGAGCCCTTGGCTTTTGCTGCAGCAGCAGTGGGGACAACCACGCTGAGCTGACTGTGTCCAACCCAGGAATGCCGTGGTCCGGGAACAGCCTCCCAGGCAGGAAGAAAACCCAACAAACACCCGCTTTGTTCCTGCCACCAAGTTTCCCAGTTTAGATTCTGTGTCTCTATCTCCCCTGCCCAACCGGTTTAACCTTTCCCTCGCCCAGCAGTCAGAGCTTCTGGGCCCCAGGAAGGATGAAAAGGACATGGAGACAACGAGAGGCTCCAAATGGAGTAGCCCTCCACCAGCTCACCTCCCTCTTTCAGAGTCTACAGCTCGGACACCACGGGACCGGCCAGGTCAGAGGGCAAGGAGATGTATTTGCTTTTGTTCATTGTGCTCTTGGAGACCTGAGACTTTCTCAGGAGGATGGAGTAGAAAGGACAATGGATCGAAGCTTGGGATTGAGAACTAATGTAGGTAAGGAAAAAGAAGCTAGCTTGATGGAGTGTGGATTAGGCAAAAGGTAATGATGTCTTGATCTCTAACCCAGACCAAACCCATTGCCTTTGAGTCTATTCCAACTCAGCAACACTATAGGATAGAGTAGAACTGCCCCATAGGGTTTCCAAGGCTGTAATCTTTACATTTGCAGAGCAGCTGGTGTGTTCAAACCTCTGACCTTCCAGTTAGCAGCTGAGCATTTTACCATTGCACCACCAGGTCTCCTCTCTTGATCCCTAGGATTTTGAAATGTTAGTCTTTTGAAGCAAGAACACACTATTTTCCTTCTCTGCAGTCTTCACTGAAAATATAATGAGTTAATTAACCTATAGGAGGAGGGGTTCTGGTTGAGAAGATAGGGTAAACTTCCTAACTCCAGAAGATAATATAAGAAATGTATTCCTCAGTCTGAATCCTTTCCCAAAAGCTGGGGGAGAGACTATGGTACCATTTTGTGCACAACTCAGTGCTTTGTGACCTGACTCTTGTTATGGAGGAGACTGTAGGAGGAGACATTGACCTGACACAAATGACAAGAGAAGCATCGTGAAGGTGCCTTGATAAAAGGCCAAAACCAGGTGCTTCATCACTCGATATCAATTTCTTTGAAGTCAGAATGGAATTTGAACCTCCTTTAACCAATGATGTTGGAGAATATAAGAACCTCTAAAATCTATAGACAGACAAACTTAGGGAAAATTGTTGGCTTTGGGATAGAGCTCTTTTAACTTCTTGAGGTAACTTGATGGAAGGGTGTCACTTCTTCACTGAGAGCCATCCTAGGGAGGTGTAAATCTGAACTCAGGACTCTGTGCAGGCCTGCAAGAGGGAAGGGAAAGTGAACATTAGTCCCACATCCTTCCTGGAGATTGGGGACCAAAGCTGAGGGGCTTTTCCCTAAAAGGCAATTCAGACAGAACCCAGCTGCCAACATGTTCCAGATCCTCTCCAACCCCAGAAACCAGCCTTCCATCCTCTCATCCAAGCTTAACAGCTGGCATCCCCTCACCCACATACCCAGCCCGAGTACTAGGAGCAGCCAGATCCCTGAACATCTACTGCTTCATGTACAAGGCTTTGGGAATCTTCCTGAAGAGAGTAAGCGGAAATGAGTAAAAATTTTCAAGAAGCTGGAAGTAGTGGAGTGATTTGGTGAAAAGATGAGTTATTAAGCCTTCATCCCTTGAGAGGGCAGTTCAGGGTAATGGAAGCAGCACTGACCAGAGGTAGGAGAGGACTACGAGGTCTCCCACTGGCTGTATGAATGCCAGTAAATCACTCCTCTTCTCTGAACCTGTTTCGTCATTTGGATGATAAGGTTTAACGATAAGGTTTAATTCCCCCTCAAAAAAAAAATTCAAACCCACTGCCTAAGAGTCAATTCCAACTCCTAGCTACCCTACAGGAGAGAATTGAAAAATTAGAACAGAGAGATTAGAACTGCCCCATAGGGTTTCCAAGGCTGTAAATCTTTACAGAAATAGACTGCTTCATCTTTCTCCCATGGAGTGGCTGGTGGGTTCAAACCACCAACCTTTTGGTGAGCAGCCAAGTGCTTTAACCACTGCACCATCAGAGCTCCGGATGAGGCAGGCATTTTCCCTGTGTTCTTATGAGGTAAGAAACAACCACTGTCACCTACTTATCATATGGTTTTGGGCCCAGCCAGGTGGGAAAAGTACACCGTCTCCCATCCAGAAACATCTGCCCTCTTCTTCTCCCCAGAATACTTTTAGAGTAAATATAGACCATTGATGTTATTAGCTGCTGTAAAGTCAGCCGAATTCATGGCAACACCCCACCACACATACACACCTGCTTCCCATCCCCCCCACCCCCTCCACATAGAAGGCAAGAATTCTGCCACTGAACCACTACTGCCCTCAGGATAGAGTATAGATCAGAGAATTTAATCCTCTCCTTTTATTGCTCAGGAAAGACTTAGAGAGGGAAGTGACTTACCCAGAACCACATAACCAAGTGGCAGCCAGCATATTTTTGGGCCTGGGAGCTCTGGTGGCATAGTGCCTAAGGCATTTGACAGCTAACCAGAAGGTTGGTGGTTCAAACCCACCAGTCACTCCTTGGAAGGAAGACTGGGCAATCTACTTCTGTAGAGATACCTCACCATGAGTCGGAAATGACTCAATGGCGGTGAGTTTGGTTTGGTTTGACTGTGGGCCCAGCATTTATGTTCCACTATTTGCATGCATCTCAACATCAGTCATTCGAGGGTCATTGTTAACATCCCCATTTTACAGACTAGGTAGGAGACTTGAAGCTACCAGGTAACTTCTCTTGTTGCTTAGTGAGGAGCAGAGCTAGGCTAACACCTTTCAACATGTCCTTTTCACTAGACCACAGGGCTGCCTCCCTGGGACCACAGAGCAGGTCCAGGAGAAGGGCTCCCTGACACCCATTACCAATGTCTGCCTTAAGTTGTCCTCCACCCCCAGAGAAGCAGTGTGGGTGAGTCAGCCCCCTACCCCGCCCCTGTTATCAGGGAAGAGGGTGGGGGAGCTGGTCAAACATCCTGCAGCCTGGTATCCACAACACACCAGGGTTTGCTGTGTGTGTGGTGAGTTGCTTGGTCACCCCTGTTCCTGTTGGCTGAAGCTAGACACTCCTCAGATATAGCTGCCCTTGTAATTGCTCCTCCCTGTACTTTCACCACAAAAAAAAAATACGGTCTTTTCTCCTCCCTGTGCTGTAACCTGCCTCTTAAAGGGACCAACAAGCAGTTTTAAAGCTGAATTTGAGAGTGGATAAAGGACCTCCCTGACCCAGATAAAGACCTCGCTGTTAATTCCAGCGGTGAGCCTTTTCCCTGAGATGTCCTCTTTCTCCCCTCCTCAGCTCCACTCTGTCCCTGCTGGAAGGAGGGTGAAGTTTCCGTGGGATGTCAGATTCCCATAAGCTCTCCCCTTTGGGGTGGCCCCAGCTTGGATTCCAGTGCCTGCTTCCACACCAACCTGAATCCTGTGGCTGTCCTTTGTTCAAACAGTGCTTCAGACAGGGGAACCCAGGCATGCCCCCCCCCCCACTGCCTCCATCCCAGATCAGTTGTGGCACTGAAGGGGTTAAAAGCCTGGGCATAGCACTGTCTGGGGTGTTTGAAGTAGGGTGTGGAAGGGAAGGGCTAGAGCAGTTGAAGTGGCAACTGGTCTGGACTGGAGTGAGTCCTCTGGTCTCCTATGCAAACTTCTGGACCATGAGCAGTTCCCTTAAAGAGGCCAAAAGAGAGGCACCCCCATTGAGGTACTGGACTGGATTCTTAAAGGGGCCACCTGAAGCAGAACTTTCTTCAGCATTGAAGCCAACAACTGAGGGCAGGAGCAGGTCCCCCATCTTTGGGATATCTCCCAGGTCTGGTGAGTT